TCCGTAGATCAATCTTCATCATACATCTTGGAGTAGTTTTTCTATTATAATGCCTCAGCAAGTCATGGCAGATTAATACATTATGAATCAATGATCTTCCTTCAACAAACGCTGCTTCATTACTTGCCACTACCACTTTTATGGCTTCCTTCAGTCTCTGACAGATCATTTTTGAAATGCACTTGTACAGAACATTGCAACATGAGATGGGTCTGAATTGACTTGCCATCACTGGTGCGTCTATTTTTGGAATGAGAGAGATTACTGTGGAGTTTAACTGTGTTAGGAGCTCTCCCGTCTCCATAAATTCCAGAATTGCTTGTGTCACATCTTGACCAATCACAGTCCATGCTGCTCTAAAGAATCCACTCCCATATCCATCAGGCCCCGGGCTTTTATTGATGTCAATACCAAGCATAGCACTCTTCACTTCTTGTGTTGTATATGGTTTCACCAATAGCAATTGTTGTTCAGTATCTAATACATCTCCATTTCTAAAAAATAAGCCACTTGCTCTTTGTCGTTTCTTTTCCTTTGTGCCTAGAAGGTCCTCATAATACTCCACAAAGACATCTGCAATTGCCTTCTGGTTTGTTTGCATTACATCATTATATCCTTCAACTGCAAAATAGTTTGTTTTAGCTTCCTGTGTTTTATAATTGAGAAGAAATATCTTGTGTTGTCATCTCCAAGTTTGATCCAAGTTGCTTTACTCCTCTGTTGTAAGTAGATCTCAGCCATGTACGAGGATCTCATAAACTTCTGGTACAATCTCTTCTCCTGCTCCTGAAAAGTCTTATCTGTTGGTTGGAGATGTAGCTCTTCTTGTGCTTTTGCAAGTTCAATTTTGTCCTCATCAGCTTCTGTGATGATATTTCTGAAATGCTGGCTATTTAGATTTCTCAGTCTTCTCTTCAAATACTTAAGTCTCTTCACAACTCTAAACATCTGGTGGCCTTCAATATTGTGGTCCCATGTCTCTTTCACAATGTTCAAGAATTCAGGATGACTAGCGCACACATTGCAATATTTAAAAGTTGGTTTCACTCTTCTTGGTCCATCAAGCAGTGAAATTACACAACAGGACAATGATCACTCACTCCTTCTGGTAAGAAATTTGCATTATAAGCCGGCATATTCACTAACCATTCTGGATTAATAAACACCCAGTCTAACTTTGAGAACACCCTAGCATCCCTTTTATCATTCCATGTATATCTGTTACCTTTTCTAGGTAGTTCCAGCAGTCCACAGCTCTCAATACAAGCATAAAAGTCAGTTATTTCCACCATACTCACTGGATTTCCCCCTATCCTATCCTTAACATTTAGGACAGAATTGAAGTCCCCCATTATTATCCATGGAAGCATGTTCCCTTCGTTCATATCATCTAAATATTTCCCCAACTCTTTCCTTTCCTCTCTTGTATTGAAAGCATATACCACAGTTACCATGTACTCCAAATTGAGGCTTTGATTTCTTACTTTACAGGTTATCGCCTGGGCACAACTTGCGACCATTTGCACCTGAAAGTAATCTGGCCTCCAAGTTATCCATACCCTACCATTATAATGGTCGACAAGATTAGTAATGTAATCCCATCCTCCAAACAAGCTTCTAGCCACCCTGTCAATATTACTTATTTTGATCTTAGTCTCTACTAAACCCACAAATCCAGTACTTTCTTTACTACAAAGGAGTTTGATCTCCTTTTGTTTGTTAGGGGCGTTTAAGCCCCTAACATTCCAACACATCATGTTTGCCACTGAGATTTGATAAGATTGTATTTATCACCTATTTTTTGACTCACATCATCAAGAACTCTTCATGCACTAGAAACTCTATAAGGACCTTGCAATCTCAAAATAGGGGACTTGAGAATAAAGTGAAAAGGTAGAGACTCTTGGTGGAATGCTAAGCAAACAATCCTGTTTCAATTCCTGAAGTGGGTTCTCTATGTTAAGGATTCGGATTATACATATTCACAGTTAGTCAACAACAAACTGAATACAAATTTACAAAGGCATTGCTTTATTCACTGTCTACTGCAGGAGACACTGAGAGTTAAGGATGAAGAATTGCAAAATCTGGCCAGGGAATTACGTGCAAGGGATTCAACAATAAAAGAGTTAGCAGATAAACTATCTGAAACCGCTGAAGCTGCAGAGGCTGCTGCATCTGCAGCTCAAACTATGAATGAGCAAAGGAAAATTGCTTGTGCTGAGGTTGAGCGCTTAAAGGCAGATTCAGAAAAGCAACTGGAATTGTCAAAGTCCAAGGTACTAATACTATAACACTACCTGCAGTTAAAACATGTATATCATTGACGATCAGCTATTACATCGCATTTGACTCATGTTCTTGAATGTTGTATTTGTAGCTGAGGGAGTTTGAAGAGAAGTTTATGACCCTGAGTAAGGAAATGGATCAACTGATAAAGCAGAGAGATTCGGCAAGTCAAGAAGCACATTTATGGCGTTCTGAGCTTGCAAAAGCTAGAGAACAGGCAGTAATACTGGAAGGGGCTGTTGTTCGGGCAGAAGAAAAGGTTAGAGTTGCAGAGGCTGATGCAGAAGCTAGAATAACAGAAGCTGTACAAAGAGAGTCTGCTACTGCAAAGGAGAAGCAAGAACTGCTGGCATATGTGAATATGTTGCAAGCACAATTAACAAGGTTTATTTTGTTATCTGTGTTAAAGATTTCACTGAATACATTGTTGCATAATCCTTTTTCCTTGTTCTGATTTCCTTGAAACATATTACATGAAATTTCATCCATTCTTCATTTTAGTAGGCTTTGAGCAGGAAGAAGGTTTGAGGGAGGGCGTGTCAATCAAAAGCTAATCTTTGTAGGAATACAACAACATACCCATGTAATCCCATCAGAATTCTTCGTAGGAATAGTGTACCTTTTTTTTTTTTACAAGGATTGTTTTATGATTAAATTACCTTTACATCTCTTTAATTTGGTATTAGGAGCTTAAAGAGTTTAAGTATAGATGCATCATAGACATAGCAGTTAAATCTGCTGAAATAGTAACTATGATTTGCATTAACCAATGGAGGATAGATCTTGTAGCACATATGTTTCTTCAAGTGCTGCTTTACAAGCTTAAACATAATTTTTATTATATTTGATATTTTAGTAGCTTCTCACATTCACATGATGAAAATCATGAGTTGAGTCCCAAGCCATTGTATCCCCCCTCACTTTAATACAGTGTGAGTGGTGGTTAAGCGTTTGGGCAGGTGAGTGTTTCAAATGTAGGGTTTCAAAGTTGCCTCTGTTTCCTTCTCAGCTGTATTTTCTATATCATTGATGTTGTTTTCTTCTTACTTGACTTAGAGGTTAGAATTACTTGAACAATGGTTTTCCTCTTGCAGGCAGCATGTAGATATGAATCAAGTGTTTGAGAAGACAGAATCTTGCTCAAGTAGTATTAATAACTTTCCACAAACCAAGCATGTGGATTTATCAGAAGAGAATGTGGACAAAGCATGTTTAAGCGTTTCGAGGGACATCGATCATGTGCCTCCAGAGAATGTAGTTGATCTAACAGTAGATCAAACGAATCATCAGTCAATTGAAAATGGTGAGTGGAGTGATATTCAACCAACAGAGTCCAGAATAGCTGATGTAAGAGAGGTAGCATCTGAAACAGAAAGGAGCAGCTTAGACATACCAGTAGTTACATCACCTTCAAACGTGCATCAAGATCAAGGGCATAACTCTCATCAGCCTTAGCCTTTTCATGCTGTCAACGGAGCGCCGTACATCACATAGAACCATATAACCCAATGCCAAATGTGCCCCAAGCAGTAGCAACTTTTCTTGGTCTTTAGGACCTTATTAAGTTTTACACTTACAATTATTGCCTGTCAGTGCGTTTAACTTTGTGCATAGTATCTTCTCTTCCTTTTAAACTTTTTTTATTCTTAAAGGATGAGGTAGCTGAGTCTTTTGTGATGTTTGAAGAATCTAAATAAAATCTCAGCTGATTGTGGTTATTCATACTTGAAGTTTGTATCAGTCCTGGACTTGTGTGGAGTCTAGTGCATGACTATGTTCCCAAATGTTTCTGATGCTGTGTTACAAGGTTTTGACCCAAACCTTCCAACTAAAATAAAATATCAGCTGATTGTGAATATTCTCTTAAAGCCTAGTGTTGTATGACTATTTTTTATTTTTATTTTGCTTTTTTGGTTTCTCATCCGGTGTCCGTTATCCGCATTGGAGTTTTACTAAATCCGAATTTGTGTTGAAAGGTCCCGTATTGGGTTAAAGTGCTCCCTAACTAAGGCGATTTTGTACCCTGGGACTTGGTGTAAGGTTGCAAAGGAGTTTTAGATTGCAAAGGAGTTTTAGAGTAATTCTTCGATAATCCATACTTCAACTCCCATTGCATCACTTTAAAATTTGACCAAATGGACTAGAAGGCTTCAGCCAAATTACAGAAGTAATAAACTATGCAGTTATATATAATATATAACAACTCCATTGACAAAGGTCACTACAACAAAAATTACCTTTAGTGGCTTCAACAATATCTTTTAAGTACTCTTCTCAACCTCCAATCAACTAATATGCGGCGGAGTTAGGAATTTAAGTAAGGGTATACAATTTTTTCTTCTTCAGTTGTGTTAATCACGTCTGTGCAAAGTTAAATATAAACCTATAATAGCTAATGTTTAATATTTATACCCTATATAACTTTTCAACGAAAGATATGCACAAGGTCACCCTTCGCCTAAATTTTTTACGAGGTGCGTAATCTAACTTTAAAATTTCCATAATATATATGTAACTAGTACTTATTATATTTACAAATATTAATATGTACATATGAAATAGATCAATACGACTTGAAAAAGATGCATACAAGAATAAAATATTAGAAAAAACACACATTACCAAATATCCTAAGCCCATGTGCTAATATATGATCAATACCACTTACGAGAAAAGTTTTGCGTACGCACACTAATACTCACCATTTTTGTTTTTCATCTACATCATTGTTGCTAAGTCAACTATTGATTTGAGGTCATCCCATTTATTCCCATGATCACCAAACAAGTACTCCTCTTGAGTACTATTTGTGTTCCAAAAGCTAATTGAGCTTGATGATGGGAATGTAGAGTCATGAGATATTAGATTTTGTTGGTTCCTAATTTCATCCATTTGAGCTTCATAATTATTATAATTTTGTTGTTGAAAAGATATATCTTTAAAGCTATTGGAATGGTCATGATCAGTATTGTTTTCATCAGATTCCATGCTACATGCTTTAGAACTTGCATCCCCAAGTAGATGCTTCACTTCTTGTGTACTGTATGATGATCTCTTGTAAGTGGAAGTACTCCTCTTGAATATTCTACATAGGGTCCAAACTTCCTGCCATTAATAGAACGACAATTTTATTATATCACTCTTAGAATATATATATATATATATATATATAAATAATAATCAATGTTTGGAAAAATATATTGACAAATGACTATAGTCTATAATTAATAATAAAGGTAACTTTAGGAGTTAAGTAACAAATTATCTCTTGATTTGTTAAATTAAACAAGTAATTGTGTGTATTTATTTTTAGTATATGATACTTCCTCCGTTTCAAAAAGAATGATCTAGTTTGACTTGGAACGGAGTTTAAGAAAAAAAATTTAATCTTGTGGTTCTAAATTAAAGTTATGTTAAATGTACCAAAATGTTCTTTAATTTTGTAACCTTAAACATGCCAAGTGGAAAGCTACAGTGTTGCCAAAAAAGAAAAAAGATCATTCTTTTTGAAACAGACTAAAAACAAATTGGGTCATTCTTTTTTGAAACAGAGAGAATAGCCAAATTAAATAAACGAATGAAGTATTAAAGTGATACTGATCATACTTGTTATAATTTATTTATGCCTCCATCTGTTTCTTAAATTTATAGGACCAGTACGTAGTTCTTTAATAGGTTGAAATATGTGATTATTTTAATTATCTAACTAACCTAAAATGTTACGTTTGCTTGTTTATATTTGACGCGGTATACCTCTTGAATATTTAAAATATAAGCTAAAAATGCTTATATCTGACTAGCTTTAAATATTTTTGAGTGGTAACAAATATTTTTCCCAGAAGCTACAAGAGTAACTTTTTCCCTTGAAACACTTTTAATTTAGAACATTGGTTAATGGCCAAACACAAGCTGTTATTGAAAGCTTTTAAACTTAGCTAAGTTAAATACAAACTGCTATTCTCTAAAAGTTTTTTTTTTTTTTAAAAAAAAAAAATATACTTGTGACAAAAAGTACTTTTCAAGATAAGTAAATTTTAAAAACTCGATCATCAAACATGCTATTATTACACCACTGATGAAAAATGATATTATCAGTTGAGTTTAATGAGTAATTGGTGGATAAGGTATCATCTAAAGATAAATATGTGTCCAAATTAAGTTGAATAGTAAGAACAAATGTATCAAGAAAGCGGGGAACAAATATAACTTTTTTCTGAGAATATAAAAATAAATATGACTTTCTTACGAAAAATAAAAAAGTAAATTAAACTTACAGCTTGGTGATTAGCATTGGAAGTTGGTGGGAGACGAAACTCATGCATCATCCAATCAGTTTTAGTGCCTTTGCCAGCACTTCCTCTATAATAAACTAAACATTTTTTGAGTCCAATAATAATGCATTGTGTAGTAGAAGAATAAACAGGCTTGTCAATACCAGTTGCTTTCCAAAATCCACTTTTTGTTACTCTATTTGGTCTTACACTGTTCTTGTATTTTCTTCCCCTCATGCAGAAATAATACATTTCTTTATCCTCTACTAATTCTGTACACAATATATAACTTTGTATTTGTTATATATGATATATAATTAAGTAAATAAAAAAATATAATTCATAAATGTGGTTTTGAACTTGACTTTAACTGATATCTATGTCCTCTAATTAACTTTGGGTATATACAAGTAGACAGTTAAACTTATATAGAGTTGAACAAGTAGATACACACTTTCTATTATTGTCTTATACATGTGGAATATCATATAGGACGTGTGTCTACTTGTGCACACTTAAAATTGGACTGTATAGATGCCAGTTAAAGCCAGGTTAAATGACATATTAGTATTATGTCAAATAAAAATATATTTTATTTAATAGATTAAATTTTTAGACGAGATGATCACATATACTCAAATATATCATCAATTCACTTGCCAAGTTCATCTACATTTTTGCCTTAAGAATTTGTATCAAATATATAAGAAAAATAAGATGATAGGGAGATGATAGATTTTTCATTAATCAATTTTTCCCTTTTAAATTTCATCTTGTATATGGCCAAATATACAAGGGTGTAGTTTACCACATGAATCGATGTATTTTTCATTAATTGGATGAATTACGTTATATATACATATAAATTAATATTTCTTTTTTTCCAAATTGTTATATGAGAGTAGTTGTTATGATAAAATTTATTACATGTTGTAACTTAATGTAACTGAGATATTATGAAAATCCATATATTGTTTGTTAGTGTGTGTATACTCAAATTAAGTGGTAGGACAAAGTCAACCAAAATCAGGTCCCCAATAACTCCAAATGTTATCAATCTATCACTTTCTATAACTACAGGCTAATTTGAAAATTCTTAGCAAAAACTTCTATAAGACGTTTTATTTATTTATAAAAATATATTCGTTCGAAAAAGCTTAAAAGATGTTGATTGGAAATGAAAAAAAATTGATTTTGTAAAACGACAAAAATGAATTCACATTCCTATACATGATTATTATGAAAGAAAATCTTCTATATAAATTTCAATGTTCACCAATATGCCACTTTCTAACGTCTTATGATCTCAGCATGAATATGGAAGTTGTCCAAATTCTCAAACCTAACTTCTTTTTTTTTAATTTGGTGTCCGATATTTATATTAGAATTCGACTGTTTCAGATTCGCTCTACATAGGATTCTATTTGGAATGAAGCGCTCTCTATCACATAAGGCTCAAACACGAGACATCTGGTTAAGAGAGAAACAACCTCATCCACTACACCACATCTGTCAAAACATAAGTACTATTTTATTCTATTATGTGATATTATTTCTTTATTTATTTGCTTAAAAGTAATATATATTTTGTCTCAATTTATTTAATACATTTTTCTTTTTAGTTTATTTGGAAAAGAAGGTCAATTTTTTTTATAATTAAAAATAATTTATTTAATTTTTTATTCTTAACAAAAATGATTTATAATAGCATAAATAGATTAAACCACAAATTTAAAAAATCTTTTTTTTTTATGACAAGTCAAACGATGCCACATAAATTGAAATGGAGAAAGTATATTTTTATATGTGAAATAATTTGTTTTCTACTTTTAGTTTTGTCTTTAATGATATGCTTTTATAATTATATTCATGACTAAGATCATAAATTTTAATTCTTTTTCTCAATTCCATACCCAATTAAACCAATCACATAAATTAAAATTAAAATGGATGGAATAATATATATGAATTGTTTTTCCTTCTACGTTTATCCTATAATTATTTAATTTATAAAATTAAATTTTATTTAAAAGGTGGTTATCAGCTCCTAGTATTTATTACTAGCTACTTTCATAAACAAGCTCTCAATATGTCCTTCATTCATTTTTAAATTTTTGAAGCTTCTTGGGGTACGATTCACTTTGTTCACATAAAAATATATATTTTTTATTTTTTAATTTATCACTTTTAGTATATATAACTTTCCCCCCCATATTTTACCTTTAATATTACTAATTACTTATTATCTAAATCATTTATCAAAATCTAAGGTTAATGAATATTGTTATAAAATACTCATAATAATTATTATTTATAAGTAAAAGTGTAAAGTCTAAATATAATAAAGTAAAATTGAACGGATGAGTATTAATTTGTTCATATAACATGCAACGAAAAGGACTTCAAATGAATCTCAACCTAAATTCTTAATTAAGGTAAGTAGCCCAGGATCCATTAACCAAATCCTTACGCAAATTATGAGGAAAAATTAATATTATTTCCTAAAATAAAATATACTTATGACTTATGAGATCCAAATTAACAACACTCACAAAAATTTACTAAGAGGGAGGAGGTAATTTAAATGGGATTTGGGCTATCCACAATTTTCTTTTTGTTTCCTTGGAAACTTCTATATTACCTAGGTCATAACGTAAATAACTAAAAGAGATTATGATCATAGTATTTGGGTCAGCTTGAGCATATCTCGACTAACTTCATGTGATATCTTACCCCTCCCACCAACAACATGTACTAGGTATTATTAAAAGAGCTAGAATTAGCGACATATAAACTCTGTAGCACTAAACAACAAAATTCATCACTAATTTATCAACAACAAAAAAAATTGTTAGCTAGCTACCTATGAGAAATTTAGCAACGGATTAACGACAAAGCTAATTTGGAGTGATATTATTTGTAGTGATCAAATGCTTATACACTTACTTGGAAGATCCCAAGGATCATATTTGTAAATATCAATGTGTTTGATGACTTCCATGTTGATTCTTTTGTTTTCGACTTTGCGTCGTAGATAAAACCCAACAAGCTCTTCATCAGTTGGATGAAATCGAAATCCTGGAAGAATTACATCTTCTTCATTGTCCTCTTTGGACATAGTTTTAATTTCATCTGCCATTTCTTCAATAATTTCAATCTTTTCTTGCCCTTTTTTCACTCTATTCATCCTAATTACTCTCAACTACTTGCATGGAGCAACAAATATCATATATATTTTATGTAAATAACTATTGATTACCCAAAGAAAATAAAAATGAAATGAACTTTGTTTATAGGGACAAAGTAGAAGGAAAATGAAATGGTATATATTGTTGCTTGGTCAACCTCATTGATCCTAGCATACTATATATAATTGTATTTTCCTTTGTAACTTAGCAAATAAGTCAAAGAATGACTAATTAGTGACTTTATGTTTGTATTTGACAGATATTGGAATTGTTAATGAGATTACTAGTGTATAATTGGGTCATGTTTAATTTACAGTAAGTAGTTGTTTATTATAATATATGATTGTGTTTGACTGAACACGAAGTTAAAATGTTAATAGTAAGAAATATAGAGAAAGAAAACATTCACTACTAGTAAATAAGGAATTAGCGACATATAAAATTTTACTATTATAACAAAAAAAAATCATGTTAATTATCATTGTGTTTGACTAAACATGAAGTTAACATATTAATAGTAAAAATACAGAGAAAGAAAACATTAGCTACTAGCGAATAAGGAATTAGCGACAGATAAAATTTTGTTATTATAAAAAAAAAATCATGTTAATCCCCATTTAGCTACTGATTAGCGATGGATTGTAAGAAATGTAATTAGCGAAGAGCTTTTTAACGACACACTAGTTGAAGAATACCGACAAATTTCGTAGCTGAAGAATACTGACATATTGAGTTGAGTGATTTTATTAATATCAATGCCCAAGTTGAGTGATTTTGTTAATATAAAATAAAGTTTAATGACTTTTACTACATAAATTATTAAAGTTGAGTAACTTTTTGAAATATTGACTCGAATAAATAGTAAGTCGGATAAAGAATATTTATTTTAATAGTATAATTTAACCTGTTGTATGTAGTACTAGGTTGTTTGCCTCATTATTTTTCAGGTAGCTATTTTTCTTATTAGGGTCAATTACTTGTAGATATATATGTATTTTAAATTTAAATGATATGATGATGTAAAAAATTTACATTTTATTTGGAGTATAAACAAATTCAATTCTTTAAAGTAATTAAAACGAAGAACTCTTCAAAATGTCTAAAATAGAAAGTCACTACTCAAAAATTACTATTTTATGAGTGCAAAATGTTCAGTGACTACTTTCATATATATTTTGATAGAATTAATGAGAAAAAATAATTATGTTTTCACATGAAAATATTAGGAAATTTCTCAATATTTTAGCGAGAATTTATTTTTGCCATACGTTTTCTTAGTGAATTAATTCGGTGCGAAATGAATAAAAACTTATAATTTATAACATAAATTTTTTATTGATAATTCGAGATGAAAAAATTCTCTATTTCTGAGAGAGAGTAATAGAGCGAGTATGATCATGAAAGATAATTTATGACTTCTCTGAAAATACAAAGTCTGATGCAATGAATGAAAAAAAGAGTCAAATATACCTTTTTAATTTTACAATTTAAAATTAATATATTTCTCGTTATAAAAATAACTCACATATATCCTATCATTACATAAATGACCTAACTATCATCACAAGCAACTGTGGGAGTCCACTAGTGTGGGTATGGCATTGACTTGAAAAGTACAAAGTTTGAAGAAAACATGCAATTTACAGAAAAATATTTCAAAGACTTTAGAAAGTGCCCAAGCAAATAAAATAAATTATAATAATATAATAACTGTAATAAAAGCCAATTAACAACTAAGGAATGAGTCTGGAAGATAGATAGATCATTGACCAAAGATACATTTATGTCAGACTCACCAGTAAACCAAGAAGAAGTAATGCGTCTGCCCCCATTGTGGACCTGATTATTGTCTTGCTTGGAATCTTAAGTAAAAGACAAAAAAAAATTTCCTCCTATTTTACTTTTTCTTTTTAGTTAACTAGATAAATAATTATTATAGAAAAAAAGGATGAATACATCTCTGAACTATTATAAATGGTACTGCAAATACCCTTCATCATACTTTGAAACATTGATGCCCCTGCCGTTAAAAAACTAGATCATATATGCCCTTCACTCTAACCTACTAAAATATTTGCTTTGACTCCACGTATTTGTCATGCACTAGTGCTCAACCTACTAAAATAAAAATAATAAAAAAACTAAATCAGGAAATAATGACTAATAGTCAAATAAAATAATGAACCTAATTCAAAATCCGTATTCTCTGGAAACAACATAAAAATTTGTTACGTTTAAATTACGCCTCCCAAATGAAGTATAAAACAATCATTATTCAACAATAGAACCTAACAAAGGTTAGGATCAATCCCACGAGAAATGTGATTTGGACTTCGTTGCTATCATTCGTTCTCTTATCATATTATTTCGGGGGGGAGGGGGGGGTTGTGTAATGAACATAGTTAATGTCGTCACAAGTAGAAAGTAAAAAAGTAGCAAGTTCATGTGTTTTGAATCAATAAAAGACGAAACTAAGATGTTGTGATCCCCAGAATTCATAACTAAGTAAGACCCGATATAATTAACTCTTTCTATTATGTAGCATGCAAGATCAGTAGGCTAAGTTCACCCAAGCGTTTGGTCCCCTAAATAAGTGAATATCACCACATAACTTAGTCTGTCTACAAGTGTATGCTTTACTAATCCGTGGATGTTTTTACGATCCGTATCGCATAGTCGTAAAACTTAAGCTTCCATTTTATATCTCTGAATCTCCATCTATGAAGGCATCTATGACTCGTCGTCCAAACCACAAGCTCGTAGAATGCACTCGTGAATTCTAAAATACCAATGAACAACTCCTAATTTTGTACTTCGTTACCGAATCTTTTTTTTCTGAAAATATATTACAAAACACATCAAATCTACTTTAACACACTAGAAAACTTACAAACATCGTAGGTTCAAACATCAAAAGTGTCGTAAATCCACGACACATCACTAGCACATCACTAGCCTAAAATTTTCAACTCACTTCTCCAAAAGTTCTCTTACCCAAATTCTTTCACCATTGGTTCACCCATAACAATCTAAAAGGTCGTTACACCCCCCCACCCCCACCCCTTGCTTCCTTTCTCTTCTACTTCTTTTTCTTTTTACATATTGTTCACCATTTTAAATTTTAACTTTTCCCAACTTATGATAAAACAAGGGAGAAAAAAAGGAGGAAATAATGATGACATTTATATAGAAATAATTACTTCAATAGAAGATGATTTCATTAAGCCACTATGTACTTATCATGTATTTTTCTTTTGTGTGTACCCAAAATTCAAAATAAAAGAATGAAATAATTTTTTCTCCTGTTCCCACCCCTACCTCACCATGATAATAATACAAATTAAAAGAGTATGAATATGTGTCACGGCCTAGTCCGTCGTGATTGTCACCCGCACTAACCCTCTGATGGGAGAACCATTACTACAACCCAACTACACAACTTAACGAAACTAGAACATTTAAAGATATGGAAGCACGTTTAAATGTCTAAAGAAATATAGAGTTTCCATAAACTTTGAAGTTTAATAAAACAACTACCAAAACACTTGCGGAAAATAATTCCTACAACAAGAAAGCCATTGTACCAAAACTCTAATTTCAACAAGTCTAAGAAAAAGGGGTACAACCCCAACCAAGCATAAGAAATATCTAAAGAACTAGTCTAAGTTCGAAGAAAATGGACTAAACATAAGAGAATCCAGGGCGGCCTGGAAGAACTGGTTCACCCTTGAATTCGGTCTCGATCAGTTATCTCCAAGCAGAAGTCGATCAGTAACCGCCTGAAGATGCCCTGTACTCAACAAAGAACGAGCAAGTGCAATATCAGTACACAACCACAATGTACTGGTAGGATCACGTGGCTACTCCAATGAGTGAAACATAGACAAGTAATCACAACATAGTATACACATATAAAGAATACACATATCAATTATCCTTTCAAGAGCAACATACAGTTCTCAATATAAAAAACAATTAGACATGAATATATTGAATCACAGTGGTCCTCTCATGGAACCCCTACGCAAATTGTTAGTGTGTCGAAACATGACATCTAATCCAATTTATGTGTCGGAACGTGACACCCAATCCAATATATGTGTCGAAACGTGATACCCGATCAAATATATGTGTCGAAACGTGACACCCGGTCCAATCAACACAACCACAATCACAATCACACCCATAATGAACATTACTCATAATCATATAATCAAATATTAGGTTCATGGCATGCAATTGTTCATTCATACTCATTTTCATTAGATTTGTTCTACATTACCTCATTCACATATATGCATGCGTACAATGAATCAATTACCAACATATATCACACAAACAGGAAATTAAACCATCACCTACCTCGAAACCAAGCTTGAATCCTCCTAAGACACTTGAGCCTTCCCTTTTCGGATTCTTTCCGCTTGTTCTTGGTCTAAAAACAATTAATTTACGCAAGGATCAATAAACAATGCCTAATTTACTCGGATAACAATCAATTTATCTATCCATGGTCAAACCCAAGATCCTATTATTCAATTTGGACTTTTCCCACCATTAACTTCAGGCCAAAACCCTCCCCCAATGATCATTACGCAATATTCTAAGGTTTACAAATCAAATTATGGATTAGGGGAGTAAAAATCTTACCTTTAGCGCTAGAAAACGTGGGAAACTGGTCAAGAATTGTTCTAGGTCGTCTCCTAGCTCTCAAGGACCAAGTTTTGCAGAAAATAATGAATTTGAGGTTTTTCCCAACTTAAGTAGTGACTGTCCCGCTACGGCGGGACCCAGCCGGCCACAACGACCCCATCTTGGAGGAATTAATCCCCCCTGGTGGCTTGCACGGAGACAGAAGTTCAGAATTTGAGTTCCAAGCTCCCATTTCACAGCACACTTTCAAACCAGGACGTTCTAAAACTACCCTTTCACGCTAAGATCAGTTTCGAGAGTTCTAATTGCCCGAATTCGATTATGTAAAGCCGTACAGGCTCCTTAA